AAACTATTTCAATTAAAATTCATTAAGCATTACATATTTTACAATGAATTCTTATAGGGTATAATTCTAATAATAAAAATATCAAGTCACTCTTAGAAAATATATTATTTGAATTGAAAAAATTATCTAGTCAAAAATGATGAACGGGTTATTTTTATGAAAATAAAAAAAAATGCATCTGCAGTTCTGCATAATTCGCAGAGTGAACAGCTAGAATTTCTGCCATGTTTCTATTACATATTCTTATGGTTTCATACCAATTTCCCACCGAAGTTTGCTTCTCTGTAGAGTCCAGGAAGCCCTTTGGAAACGAAGTATCAGGTTTATCCGTGGTTGATTATATTGAGGAGATGTGAGACTCCTTAGTGGAATCATGAACCCACGATGAGGGGAAAACGGGTTCATTATAGCTTTCATAAGACAAAGGCGGTTGCAAACGCTCTTCTTTCAAATTCTTTTTCAAGCCCATTTTTTGGAGAAAAAATTGAAAGACAACTTTAAATAGATTTCAAACTAGTTTCAACTGAATTATCATGAGTTGTAATTTTGTATAAACGTTTTTACTTCAAGTTTTTCAAGTCAAAATCATTAACATTAACGATTCAACAGGCACACTACAAGAAAACCTTCTATACGACACTGCTTAAAATCAGTGTTCCACTGCCAGTGCGCACCGATACTGGCCGACACGGACGCGCAGCAGTATCTAGCAAGTGCCGATTAGCATTGGTGTCGCACCGATTTTTAACAGTGTCGCATTGATGTTCTTTTTTTCCAGGGTTGCTTTTCTTAATTTTGTATTAATTAGAGTGCAGCACTGGGAGATACCAGTACCACATTGTCACGCCATAACTGTACAGCACTGATCTTGGTACTTCATTTACGACAAAAAGAAAAGGATGAAGTTAAAAAGACATTTGAAACATTGCTAGTATCTGTAGCATTTAGATACGCAAACATTGATAGAACAAAATAATGATTGGAAAAAACCTTTGGCATTGGTATGTATATCTGAGTCAGTACAAAATATACTGGATGAATACATGTTCGGCACCAGTGCGCATCGGTGGGCACTCATGCATGACCAGTGCCAATAAAAAATTTTTTGCAAGACATTGTTTAGGAAATTTCCACCATAACGCCTGTAGCGTAATTCCTTTTCATAGTATAATTAGATATGGTAAACTTGGACGTTTATTTTATCTGAAACTGGATATACAATAGTAAGTGTTCTATATAATTATCTAAATTTTTATATAAAAGTGATTTTATGGAAAAGTCGACCTTTGTCAGCGTTTGTCTTCGTGTAGTAAATGTACAAAGTGACTTCATTCAAATTCGAATCTCTCATTTCAACAACCGTTGAGTTACATTCTAAAAGTAAAACAGTTCTTGTTCTAAATTGAACATTACAAGCATTACAAGCATTAAGCATCGTACAACCAAATATTAAAGAATTAACGGATTTGTCTATAATTCTTATTTTGTCATTTGAATTCCGGTCAAGACAAAGTGTCCCGTTCTTTCAGTCTGAAGTGTTTCTAAGATTTTATTGTGATCTTTGCTATTTGAAGTTATTGAACGCCATCTATACTTATATTTGATTGGATTTCCTCTTTTTCCTTTCGAAATAGATGGATCGAATGATTTCTCCTTTTCCATACTTTTTTCAATGCAAGTGGCTGAAGTGAAAGGAAATGAAAAAAAGATTTATTGCTTCCACTACAATAAAAAAAGATTTTCTTCTTTCTTTCTTTCCGTACTATATGTTTTATCACTTGACTGAGCTACTCGTTCTACATCATCTTTGGCGATATAGATTTAGAAAAAAGATGGTTCACACATATTCAACAGCTGTAGATGACACATCTAAAATTATTTTTACACATCTGTTTTAATTACTCTATGTTTAGTGTGTATTTTACAAAAAATTTGTCGTTTTATTTATTGTTAGATAATTAATCGTCACGTGGCACACCAGTAGAACGATTATAGCTTGTTTATTTCCAATGCTATTTCATGCTTCATACTGTAGTCTATATCTAAAAAGAGTTTCTCTGATGTGAACTATGAGTAAATATGCATTTTCGCAACTTTTTGGACTTTTGATACGTTAAATAAGCCCGTTTCACTCGATAGCCTTCCAAAAAGCAGTTCATCTTTAGTCTTGCCTTTATTTGCACTCTTTTGGATTTTAGTCCGCCACTTGTTCTCAGATCATGCAGATTTTGGAGAAATTAATTGAGGTTTTCAACAACTGTAGACGAACAATCAGCAGCAGACAATTTTAAATATATACTTTAGTTTCTCTATTATTGTTTTTGGAAAATAATACATTCTTAACTTAGCCGCTTTTTTGTTTCATAGGATAATTGATAGTCAGAGGATGCTTAATAATATATACACTGAAAGATGGGCGGAACATGATCTTCCTTGGCTTTCCCTGTCAGGAAGAAGTTTTCCGAACTGGATGAGGAAAAGAATTTTCTTTCCTAGGACAGAAAAATGAACTTAATCTTTCTATTATTCTTATACCTTGGTATTTTCTTCTTTTAGATATGAACACCCATAAGACAGACGGCGTAAGTGTATGAGAATCTTTTTTTATACTAAAAAGAACATGTTTTTTTTATATGCATTATTTTTAGACTGCTACTGCTGTGGGTGGTGAAGATGAAGAAGGAGATGGTGTCGATATTGGTAAATTGCATAAATTAGGACATATACGTGTGGATAACGAGGGTAATGTGACATTTAAAAGATTACCGATTACTCAATTAGTTGAAGCATTACAGTTGGGTATACAATATACAGTCGGTGGCTTACAAGCCAAAGCAGCAAGAGATGTTTTATATAAAGATTTCATTACTGTTGAAATTATTCATTTTCCAAAGTAAGAACAACAACAAAACTCATATTTTTATGTATATCTATGATAATATTAAATTTCATCGTTAAAGTGTGAAAGATTTTCGTGTGACTATAATCCAGTGGCAATATTTTGTAGTACCTTCTATTGAAGCACATTTAGCAACCTTTTTATGTCTCTTCAATGTGTTTCATCGAATTAGTAATAAGCTTTGTTAATCATTATATATTTTTTTGTTTTTATAGAGATGGTACAAAAACGACGCCTGCACACCGATTTAGTGATTTTACAATTCGTTCCTATGCACCCGTAGCATTTCGACATTTTCGAGAATTATTTAATATTAAACCAGAAGAATTTCTTGTGCGTAGTAGCATATGAAACATGAAGCAAATAAGTATTGTTGTTAAAAAAATTTATTTTCTTTTAGAATTCTATTTGTAAACCTTTGAGAGAACTACGTAATCCAGGTGCTAGTGGTAGTCTATTTTATTTAACATCTGATGATGAATTTATATTAAAAACTGTACAAAAAAAAGAAGCAGAATTTTTAAAAAGTTTATTACCAGGATACTATATGGTAGGATAATGAAAAATATTTTAGACAAAAAAATTTTAATCATGCATTGGTTATTTTTTAGAATGTCACACAAAATCCACGAACTTTATTACCAAAATATTTTGGTCTGTATTGTTATCAGGTAAATAACTTGACAAGATGATTTTTATTCTCTTTAAAACATTAGAAAAAATCAACGCTCTCTATACTAGAAATAAAAGAAAGACACCTACTCACTGCAATTATTTAGGTCACAGAATTTATGTCGAGAAAACATGAGGGTTCTGTTGTAAGTGGAAAAGTTTTTTGTCCTTGTGTGTGCATAGATGAATGATTTTTCTAACGAAAATTTAGCTCAAATCGGTTTCTAAACTTTGCTTTTTTATTTTTATTTTTTATATGTCGGTATAGTAGAGTTAACATTCTATTTTTTTTTTAAGACTTTGGAAGAAACATAATCATTCTTAGCTATTCAAAACTATAAGAAAAAATAAAATTGCTGCATTTTTGGGATATGTGACTACGTTAATAGATTCTTAGATTGTCACTCTAATAACTAAAAGGCTAAAGTAAGAAAAAAGTTATTTGATTCTCTTAGGTGTCAATTATCTATTATTGAATAATCTATTATCTTTTTTTCAATCTTACATATCTGCAAATTTCTAAAACTAGCTCATAAGACTCAATAGACAGACGATTATCTTCTTTTGTTTTGCTACTTTGCTGATGAATCATGTGTGTGTGTGTGTATGTTTGTGTGAAACTCAAGTACACTGCTAGACTATTCTTCTACTTACACTCGATATTACTCTTTTCTTTTTTGCTCACTATTCGGGTGTGTTTCGTACTATAGAATAATAAAAAAACGACTAGATTAATTTATTTGTTGTTAACTACTTTTTTTCAGGGTGAAAATAAAAATATTCGTGTTATTGTTATGAATAATTTAATTCCATCTCAAGTACATATGCATGAAAAATATGATTTAAAAGGTTCAACATATAAACGTCGTGCATCAAGTCAAGAACGACAAAAAGAATCTCCAACTTGGAAAGATTTAGATTTTATAGAACGTCATCCAGATGGTTTTCTATTAGATGTGGATACATATAATGCTGTTGTTAAAACAGTACAGCGAGATTGTCGGGTATAAGATTATACTTGTAGAAGAAGATTTTTTTTATTATATTTTATTGTATTTTAGGTTTTAGAAAGTTTTCGAATAATGGACTATTCTTTTTTGATTGGTGTTCATCATGTTGATCCTGCTGTGACAGCTGAGGGTGGCGCTGGAGTAAGTTGTCACTCAGAATATTTGAGTATAGATAGATATTCTAAGATTTTTTATTTTACTTTTAGGAACGAGCTTCTGGTACATGAAAAAATATATGATTGTTTATTTGACATCAAATAATTCTATTTAATTTAGATCCGTCTACTGTTCAACCACCAAAACGTATGATGTATTCAACACCAATGGATACAATAAATGCTGAATTTGAAGAGCATAACAAACCAGATGATCATCTTGTTGAAACAGGTGGTATACCAGCTCGAACAGCCAGTGGTCAACGTTTATTATTGTATGTTGGTATTATTGATATATTACAATCGTATCGTATACGAAAACAATTTGAACATGCATTTAAATCAGTTTTTGCTGATGGAGTATGTAAATTAAAAACGGAAGTTATTCTTTAATATACATTAAATAATTCTTTTTATTGCTTTAGGCAACAATTTCCGTGACAAATCCATCGTTTTATTCTGAACGATTTCAAAGTTTTCTATTTAATACCGTATTTAAAAAGGCACCACGTAAGTTTCATAATTTTTTAATTCAATAATTGTTTAAGAGCAGGCAACAAACGCATAGGAATATGAGCTTGTATTGTCGTATGATAAAAACTTTATATATTTTTATAGTAAGTGACGTCAATGTATGTAAGTTTCAGAACGAGAGTGGGCAGAAAATGCGGCAATACTCTTTTCTATGCTTTTTGAGTTTTTTTTTCGTACTAACTGAGTGTTTTTTGCTAAAATGTAAGTGAGAGTGTGTATACATACTCAGTTTTTGCGTATAACGCAATAAAAAAAAAGAGAAAACTAAACTTTATGTGAACTCTGCTTGAATAATACACTGAAGATCTATTTGCTTTTGCTGTCTTAGTTTAAGTTTCGTTCGACATGACTTAAAATTAGAGTTTATGACTATTTTTCTAATGACAACATGTCGCACGTTTGATCTGCTTATTCAGTAATTAAAAATCATTAATGAATGAATATTACTTATATTTTGACATGCGTCAGTCATATTAAAAGCTTTTGTTTCTTCTATGACTTCATGTTTTTGTCGTTTTCCTCTCTGTACAATTTTGAAATAGAATCAAAATTCATGAACAATTTTTTTGAAATTCAGGTGAAGCTGGAGCAACAAAAAAGTTTCGCACAATTGCCTTACTTGGTAATACACTCATACACGCGAAAACGTGCACTGAAAATATTAAACAAAAAAAAATTTTTTGTTGTTTTGTGCTGATTTGTGTATATCTTTATCTGCTTTATTTGCTTATGTACATTTTCTTTTTATCAAAGATATTATTTCCATTTGCAAAGATCAATGTATTTTTTTCATCCTTCCTTATATTCAATGTATTTCCGAGTTCAATTTAGAAAATTTTCTAAAATTATTTTATTTTATAGCATTACGTGGTTCTCCTCCTAAACGTCGTTCAAGATTATCAAAACTGCCAACACAAACGGAACAAGGTCGGTAATATACATAAGTTGTTAATCTATTGAATTATGTCGCTGAAACAATTTTTAGATATTTCTGTCGTTGAAAATGAAGTACCCATCCCCAATGTTCCAAAATTTATTCCGACCGAGCGAAGGACTTCACCTGTAGTACCACGTTATCCAATCGTGGGAAATCGCACAAATTATTCAATACAAACAAACATGTATGTTTAATAAGTATATTTTAACTGCTTAAGTAATATTGATAGTATTTATTATTGTTTAGCCCATCTTCTTCTTCAAATCGTCGTTATTCTCCTCAGATGGGAGACGAGAATGATCGACACGTTCGAAATTCACCATTTCATACCATTAACAATACCAATATACGTGGTATTCAAACTGCAAATTACTCACCACTCTCTTCACCTTCGTCAAGGGGAAATCCACCACGTTATTATCATCATCCGAAAGAGAATGATCTAATAGATGATACCAATCATATGTCAACAACAACAATAACAAACTCATCTTCAACACGTTATCCTGATTTAATTTCGCCTTCGTTACAATTAAAAAATTCTGCACGATCTACAATAAAATGTTGAGTGAACATTTTCTAAAAGTCAAACTTTGAAAAAAAAGATAGTTAAACGTAGTTGCAGAAGTTTTCCGCTTGCCGTTGAAGTTTTCAGAAGAAGAAAAAAACAGACAAAAAAGTTATTTAGTTTTGAACTTTTTGACAGTAGTCCAATTTTACTCAATGAAAATTGTGATGCTTTTATAAACCCACAAAACTATTTATTAACTTTTGTATTCTTTTTCTAGCTGATTCGGGACGAATCTTAACAACATCATTTACCAGAGTTGAACATCCAAAAACAATTGTAGCAACTTCAAATAAAGCTTTGACAACATCTACAGCAGAAGCTGATTTCCATTTTCGTAAGTGCTAAAATATAAATTGTAACATTTTAAATCCGAGAGTGATATTTGATGTTATAATTTCGACTAGTTTTATAAAGCAGGTTTATTCTGTTATTCATGCAGATATGTTGGCTAAATCAACATACACACTTATTGAGCAACACTTGGCCGATACGAAATAGATAAGATTTGATTAAAAGGGAAGATACTTTAATTTCGTATTTTATTAAAACAATTTAAACAAATATATAAGAAAATCAAACGTTTCGACCTCTTCTAAATTGAGGTCTTCATCAGTGAACTTAAATTGAGGTCGAGACGTTTGATTTTCTTATATATTTGTTTTAAATATTTTTAAATTGTTTTAATAAAATACGAAATTAAAATATCTTCCCTTTTAATCAAAACGTACACACTGTATGTTATACTAAGACACGTTTGAAATTCCCCTAAAATTGTCTGACTCTTATTGTTGTCGAACGTTTATAGCTAAGGCTGATTGTTTTAGAAACAGTAATAATTGTTTAATATCTATCCTCTCACATAGATAACCATAGATTTTGATGATATGTCCTTAATGACATAAAAAAAGAAATTTTTAGATATCATTCGTACAAACTAGACAATGTTTAGTGTCTAATTTATTTTTATTTTTTTATTCTAGAAAGTCATCGTGAGCAAAATCCACATATAAAAACCACCACCACTTCTTCACCTGTTCATCGATCAATGATTCTCACAGCATCATCTGACTTAGATGAATCACCGGTAGTTATTCGTCTTTAGAATATTATTAGCTGCCTGGTGTATTTTACCCTTTGATGTTATATATGTACATACATGTTGTTATCTTGTTTATCTTTAGAATCAGCTCGTATTACGGGTTTGTTGATTGATTGATTTTTAGCACTGTGTGTGTGGTGTGTGTGCGCGCGCGCGCGCGTGTGTGTGTGTGCGTGTATGTGTGTGTGTGTGTATGTATTCTGAACGCTTAAAAATCACTTAATGGACGATGCAGAATGTGGCTAATATTTCCGACCATTGTGTTGTATGATTGAAATGCTTTTTTCATACTCTCATTTTATAAGAATTATAGCTGTCTTCGATTAATCCTTTCAAATCAATCATCATTAAAGGATTTAAGAAAGAAAGTTGAGAAAGTTTACACATTGGGGCTTTATAATATTCCACAATACACTTTATATTTCCATAGCTCTATCTTGTGTATCTTTAAATTTACTAATGATAAAATCTGTGATTTGTTCACATTGGATGTTTTTTTTCTCTATTTTAGACACGTTTATGACAAATTTTGATGCAATATTTATTTTATTTATCCCTCCATGCTATCTTTATTTTTTGTTTCAATGCGGAATGTATTGTGTATGTGAGTGTTTCTTCAACAAACATTCCGTTTTGTTCAACCATGATCGTATCGATCTTAGATTATTTTTCTGTAAATAATGGTTTCTAATGATGTTTTCTTCTTTTTTTTCTTCTTTTGTGTGTGTATGCGTGTATAATGACAATCGATGTTCTCATCATCAAATCAATTGATGCAATACGAATTATAACTGTACCTTTCCTCCACTATCATTATCCGAGGTTCTTTAACTATTGATTATTTATCATTTGATCAATTTGTATGCAAAAAATGATTTATATATGTGTCTGTATGTAAAAACCCGGTGTACATGTTGTATCTCTTTTTTTTTCATACACGACAACTTTTTTTATTTATCTTTTATACACTAGGATTTTTCGATTATTAGTATTCGTCGAACAAAACACTAATATTAATCCTCACATTACTTCTATCTATTTATCTATTTATTTATTAATTAATAGATTTTTTTTTACGGCTATGTTCTTATTTCAAAACTTTAAATTATTGACTAAGAAACATTTACATTAAGCTAATTTCTTACTAAATTAGAAGAATTTTGTTTTTTATTTTTATTTTTGTTGGTTGCATTTATATACTTGTTCTACAACTAATTTATTAATCATTACTCTATAGAGTAATCGCGCAGAAAAATAATTTATGACGAACAATTTAATATGTTCTGAGTGTCTGCTTGTCAATAAAGTTTAGAAATAAGAATATTTAGGTATATACCCCGATGTTTGTTTGTTTTCAACAGTGACGTGGTGGTATTAACTATTTTTTATTGGAAGAAGTAAATCTTTCTTATTTAATCATGTGTGATCTTTCCCAATTTGTGTATGATAATTTTAATTTTAAAATGCTATTTTTTTTGCTTCTTCTTCGTCATGTCATTGTTGTTTTGTGGTTTTTTTTTTCTTTTTCTTTCTTCTTCTTTCAATCAGTCAATTTCATGTTTGTACTTTTATTTTTTATAAAAAACTAGAACAGAAAATTCTCGATATTAACTATTAATATATTTAAACGGTAGGAAACGTAGAGAATAGACAAATTTGATTACTAAAAATTCGTTATAATCAAGTTGGGAAAATTATTGTCACTCATCTACAATTAGAAAATTACAATAATTCTACTATTTGTTAAAATAAGAATTATTCATAATGTAGAATTTTATGTAGCAGAATAAAACACAAAAAAACAGATTAAAGAGGAAAAAGTAAATTGAATTGAAATGAGTAAAGAACGTCATCTTTCAACTACATTTGAAATTATAGGCATAAATTTACTGTTTTTTTCGATTTTGTAGAAAAAATTTAAAAGATGAGAACATCAGTAATGTAACGTTAAATATGAATTTTAATAACTGACTAAAAAGTAGTACGAAAAATGGCAGACTCTAGGTTAATTAATTCTATGTTGTTCACACTAGAAATGCACAAATTCGGAAAGTGACTTTTTTGTTACATTCACTAGAACAACTGCATCTGTCGAACAATTTGTTACTAATTATTATCCAACATTGTGCTACTGCTGTAAAAATTTTCCGTAGGATCCAGACTTTTTTATGTTTTAACCATAACTCAGTACAGGAGTGGTCTTTCAGCAAACGGCTTTCACCAAAATGTTGCTCATTCGTCCGAGTATATTCGTCGAAAAAAAAAATTTAAAATATTGGTTATTCTTGTCCGTAGGTCGACATCAATGCTCGAGTACCAAAGAGCTGCAAAAATTTTCCATACGACTAATGTAATGGATTTTTTGACCCGTCAAAGAAGTTTAAAGCTATGAAAACTATACCAGCGGAAAGCGGAGAAGATAACGAACATTTTGGTAAAAAAGATTTTTGAAAAAACGCTTTCTCGTGGACGGCAGACTGGTTTTAAGGTAAAGCTGACATGGTCAATATGTAAATTTTGTACCTCGGTAATGAATGGATGAAATTTCTTTTTAGACATATCAATGGGGAAAACGGCTGATTTAAAAGTTTATGGAAAAAAGTAGACACGTATTTTTCGTCTGTTTGTTACGAATCTCACTCAAAACATCTTCATTTGCAAGTTTTTTACTTTTTATCGTTTTCTTTATGACTTATTTATATTCATTAGAACTGCCATTAAGCGAGCTTTAAAAGTACGGATCGCCTTTTTCTTTTATTTTGCTGTATCACTAAGAGAATACATTTTTTCTAAATCAGGAGCGAAAAACTCGAACTTCTGTCTGTAATTCTCCATTTTCTCAACTAGGACTCACTTTTTATGCAATAAAAATATTATATTTGGCGTTAGCATCGAGAACTGAGTCGAATGATTTCCTGTTTTTATTCTAACCGATTACTTTCGTTTTTTCCTGAAAGTTACTGAGATTTTTATCAAAAAAGGAAAATCAAAGAAAACTCTCGAAACATATATCATTCGACTCAGTTTTCGATACTGACGCCGAATATGGTATTTTTGTTGCATAAAAAGTGAGTCCTAGTTAAAAAAATAGAGAATTACAGACAGAAGTCCGAGTTTTTCGCTCCTGATTTAGAAAAAATGTATTCTCTTAGTGATACAGCAAAATAAAAGCAAAACGCGATCTGTACTTTTAAATCTCGCTTACATAAACTCCAATAATAAGCTATTTAGCATTAGACAATTTTTTCCAAAACTTTTTGAAATAAAATTAGTCCATATCTAATTTACACATGTCATGAAGATTATATTTAATTGTTTCCTATGTGTAGATTATCAGAGACAAATCTTTGAAGTACATTAATGATATACAGTAGGTGTCAAAACTGAGAGTATACAATAGCGACAAGAGTTTTATTTCTTCTATATAAACCAAATAAAGATAGAGTAATGTAGAGTAATTCAGTAGCTTTTTGGTATCCTTGTAAGTGTTTTTTGAAAATCTCTGTTATTTTCGGGGATTTTCGTGCGCACCTTCGCTACAATATAAGAAGGACTCTTAGCTATCTGTCTGTGAAAAATCGTCTTCAACACTCTCAGGCTAACGATCTTAACCCTTTCGGGACGGGTGGTACACCGTATATACCAGTGTTTCGTTCTGTTGTGACGTGTCGAAGCATATATTTTCTTGCCTTTTTCTATAGAACATACATATTTTTCAGTTTTTACTCTTTCCTCTTCTTATGGTATCTTCTAGTAAATTCTTTCCTTTTCACACTTTTATATATTCAGCAAGAAGAAGTCGTCCTTCCGCAGAAAAACCACTTCGATTGACGTCTCGTCATTTTCCAGCACTAACTGGTGGAGCAAAACGAAGGTGTATTGTATGCAGCTCAACTGT